AAAACAACGCAATGCAATAACAGCATGTTGTTCCGCGTAATTGATGAAGTAGCGACTATCGGTACATCGCTGGGTGTCCAAGAAGAAGTCGATTAGGGATGGATGTAGTACACGAATGACCATATCATCTTCGACCGTTCCATCGTGTTCGACGCGTAATAGGGACCCTAAAGAGATGATAATCGACTCTGAGCTCGAGAGTTTTACGGGAGGCGGATAAGCTCCCCGATTACTCTTCCCAAGACCCAAAAACATGTCCAGACCCAGACGCGTGAACGGAGCTCGCAAAAGCAAAATTGTCCCAAATACATATCGAAAAGCCGGAGTGGGGATGTTGACACATACTCGCCGGAGAATGTCCAGATAGAGCTTGTCGAGCGCACTCTCGGCTTCTGCCCGTTCAGCAGGTTCTTGAGCGAGAATCTCGTCAAGCCGCTCCTCCGGATCGAAGCTCTGAATGTACCTGCAAACCACAGCAGCCCATTGGAACAACCCGTGCGCCCTTGCAGCTAGTTCCATACGAGCAGCGTATTCCGGCCAACCAGGAGGCAAACTTGGATACCGCGTCTTGATCTGATTCATCCGAAACTCGATGAACGCCTGGATATCTTTCGCCGTATTTGCAGCAACGTCGATACTCTTCGACATGCTAATTCCACGGAGATACGAACGGATATCCGCTTCGTCCCGACTAGTGAGGAAAATCCGAACATATCTGGGAAGATGAACTACTTCGGAAGCTAAAGCTCGCAACAAATCATCCCGAGTGAGTTCATCCCCCGATTCGTCGACGGCATCGATCACAATGACTACAGGACCAGCAAACTGGACTGCGGCCAGTACATCGACGACCAAGATCCGGATTTGGTTCGAAAGAGGTAAACTACCCAGATCCCCATGGTTATCGATAGTCTGAAGGACTTTTTCTTTCAACTGGACGTTAAATCTTGCTAGTTGGTAAGCAAGGTTTCCGAATAGCTTCGTTGGGTCGTTCCGCTCAGCCACGTCTCGACTAAAACGAAAACTGCCAAGGAGACGTTCTAGTCCGTCAAACATGTGTGCAACGCTGTTCGCTACGGTCGATTTTCCAGCGCCAGCGACACCGTGTAGCCAGAAAACGCTGGGTCCTTCAGAATCGTTTGCCCATGAAACGATCTCATCAAGGAGAGCTTCTCGAGTTTTTGGAAGACAGATGTTGCCTAGATCCCATCTGACATTGGTGAGCCTGGCTCCAGGAAGGTTATCCAAGAGACGGCTTTGATCTACCAAAGAAATGAGGACTGGGAACATTGGATTGAGGTATGAAGTTCTTACCCATGCTAGTCATAGCCTCGACGAGTGAACCCAACTGCAAATTATTCTTGCGTATAATCTTCCACGTGCTTAGTGTAGACCGTTCATTAAATCGCTGTCGCAGCATTTTGAATGACTCTGTAAACTCCTTGATCGTATCGTCGACATTCGAAAATGTTCCCTTCGCGGATCTCCCTATGTGATTTGTGAGCAAAGACGCCTAGCCAAAGGATCCCGCAACTCGACTTACGAATGAACCCAGCACCACCATACTCCCTTATGAAATTTGAGCAATCGTATATCTGCTTGAGCATTGCAGATACAATCGGTGACACCGTGTCATCGATGACAGTATCAGCAGTCTTGAGGAAGTCCAGCATGTCGACTGCCGTCGTCCACAGCTCTTCAACTTGTTTGTCGCGTTCCAGCTGAGCTAGTACTCCCTGGTGAAAGGATTCAACACCTAGTTGAGATTGTGCCACGTGTAAAACTCACAGCAGGTATAGAAGTAAAGACTGTCCACGCCAATTTTGCAAATGGATGAACCTACTCAAAGATCAGGAAATGTTACATACCCAGCAGTGAAAAATACACGTACCTCAGCCAACGATTCACCCAATTTAATCGCAAGATCCAGATAGCCCCTCAACTGCTGATACTTTTTCGCCATCTTCTCACTCGGTTGAAGATTCGCAACCGCCGCATCCGCCAACGGAACACTATCTTCAAGCTTCTCTTCCGAGGCATCATCTGCAGATATCTCTGATTCCGTATCGTCCTGACTAGTTGACACTTGTGACTGGGGCACTGCTCCACGTTGCACCTTCACATAGACCGAAGATGGAATTGAGCGATAGTTTGGAGGTATCTCAAGTTTATAATTGCGATCTGAACCAGAATTGGGATCACTGCGTTCTCAAGACAGAGCAAGGACACTGACCGACAGCTGCATCTGAACCTGTCGTCTCATCCAAAAGCGGGCCTAGTGAGATATCAACATGCCCTCTATATTCTTCGGTTTTGCGTGGAAACTGTGTGACGAGGTATACTGTGATTTTGATTTGGGATGACTTGGTAACATTCCTGAACGGTGATGAAGGATGAAGTTGAGGGAACAGCACTTGAAGAAAGAGAACGAAAGACGTACAAATCAACCGTATAGTCCCATGTTGGATCTCTCCTTGCCTTTTTCTCTACACGATACTTCTGTCCTCCGTCCAATACAATCTCAGCAGCCCATACTGATTTAATAGCAAGGTATTTGCGCAGTGCTCCGCCAGAGTCGACTGAAAAGGCGTCAGACCATATTCTCTAGAACTCTAAAGCAAAACATACGCGTAAATAGAATCGGAATAGTATCAGGTCTGTTGGTGTAAGAGTCGTGACAATGCCTGAACGGAGAAAAACCACTCACTGCTCTACACTCGTCATACCTCCCAGCAAGTTCTATCGCGTCTGAAAAGGGTTTGAGGACCCTGTGTTATCGATTTTAGACACCGCATTCGAACGGGCATGACTGTGAATGACAAAGAGGCCATTCAGTTGATATTTACACTCGGCGCTAGCGCTAAAAAGTAATAATAAAGCAGCGCTCTCTCGGCGATCACGGACAACGCTCTCCGCCCATAGTTATCCTAATCCTACACTAATCATACCTCGACTAGCTATACCGCTACAACCCCCAATAAGCCAACAACGTCGTCTCCCTAAACGGCCCCCCATGTCCCCCCGGAAAATCATACGACTCAACCTGTCCATTCCCATAAACATACTTCGTCGTCCCGCTATCCGGTGTATTCCCCGCCGTCGACACAGGATTCTCACTTATCCCATGTATATTCGTCCATTGTTTGACCATCTCCCTACGATTATTCGGATAAATCACATTATCGTATCTTCCTTGCCAGACTTGAACACGCGGGTATGGCCCTGTGTATCCTGGGTATCCTTGACGAGCGAGGGAACCCCATTCAGAGGCGGGACGGTCGACGGTTCCTTGGGTACAGCCGGCGTAGTTGAAGCATTTGTAGGGGACACCGGCGAAGGAGGCTGCGGCGTTGAATAGGTCTGTTTTGGAGTGTGAGTAGCTGTTACTAGATCGGTTGCAGTAAGATGAGGTTACCTGGATAAGCAGCGACCATGACCTAGTGAACCGGTCAGTCCACAAACCGTCTGCAGTTCGACGATTTGGATCATACATACATTCGTCATCATACCACCCGAAGACCAACCCATAATAAACACCTTCTTTGGGTTAACACCCCAATTCGCAATCGCATGTCGGACAAGCTACGCGCCGCCCCACCAAACCACCAAATCACCCAAAGCTCCCAAGAAAACCACCAAAAAATCCACTAACCGAAGCAATCCCAAGACTATCCCCACCCTTATCATGCACCAACGTATTCGCACTACTCATATCCCAACACCCATTCGAAGCAGGCGCCTGTCCATAAATCGCCATAAAATTCTTCCTCTCGTTCGCTAAATCCTTAAACTTGGTATCCTGGAAGAAACCTTGGGCCCAACCACCGCATCCGTGTAGAGCGATGACTAGCCCGCGGTCGGATTGGAGGTTGTTGGGGACCCAGGCGTAGAATTTGACTTTGGTTGGGTTGTTGCCTGTGTGCGCGTGAGGTGAGGTGGTGTGAAAGTGGAGGTGGAGGTGAACTCACTGATACTAGAAGTAACTTCGACGTAAGTGTTGGTAGGTGGTAACGCGCCTGTTCCTGTTGGTGGAGCAGCCGTTGAACTTGTAGGCGTTCCACCTCCACCGCCTGTGCCTGGTATGCACCTAGACTAGAAATTAGAAAGATAACCCCAATACCGGTGTAAAACCGCGGCTTACTGGGAGTAATAATCATTCTGCTTTACACATGTAGATCCAGAATCACAGGTAGTCTGAGCAGATAGCGAGTTTAGACACAAATCCCAGCAAAAGCACACGAAGCAGAACATACCGAGCCCGTCCAACCGATACCTCCACCTATACATACACAATCGACTTGGCTATAATCCCAATATACCGCTTCAAGGTGAAGTACTCACACTGCCCAAAACATCGTTAGCACAACACCAACGCACATAGACCTCAAATCTACTCACCTGTCCCCAAACAGGTACACCCAACGCTTGACGCGCCAAAAAAGCCACGAGCGGAAGAACGATTCCGAGCTGCATCATTGGCACAACCTAGAGCGTCCGTCCAAGTCTCCAGTTTCAAGATTCTTTATACCATTATCCAAGAACCCAGCCAAGGAGCCCAGTAGATGGAGTATAGCCTGAACCGTTCTTCCATCGAGATTTTCCGAGAAAAAAAAAGGTCAAACAGGATGGGAGCACCGAGAAAGAGTAACACGTGTTGGATGGTACGGATGAATTTCGAGTGTGGGTCGTTGGGTATGTAAGATAAACCATCACTAGAGAGAGTTGTTTATAATCATTCCTTTTCCCTACGAGTTTTCGCCGCTGCGGCTTCCGAGAATGTGTGTGAGTAGAGTTAAAACTTTCGGCCGGCGAGTGGTATATCCGAGTCTCGAATTCACCTGTCTCGTTTGTAAGTCTTCATCTTCTCAAAAATCAAAAGTAGGTAGAGCCGAGAGTGGTAACTGACCGTGTTGTAGAAAACAAAAAAGTCTTCATGATCATGATCGTAGTGGTCGAAGTTGAACCAAAACCAACACCTACAAAACTCCCCAAACAACCACGGCCGCCTGGCGAAATGGCATCGCGTCTGACTACGATTGCAAATTTCCTCATAAGTGACGTAATCAGGAGATTGCAGGTTCGACCCCTGCGGTGGTCAATAACGGTATTTGATAGTTTTTTTCTCACTATTTCGTTTCACAGTGCACACTTCAAAACCCCCACAAAAAAAAACATCTCACTCCCAAATCCATACATGGACACACCCGGAATTGAACCGGGGACCTTTCGCAGTACAATCATTATCTCCCAAGATGCAAAGCGAACGCGATAACCCCTACGCTATGTGCCCGGCACAAAAAGGTCGGGAGGTGTTTCCAGGACTGGGTTCATGTCCGCCTAGTAGGTGGTTGCATGTTCGAACTCCTGATCTTTCCTTTCCAGGCCAGAACACCTTGTCAGGGTAATGTAGTGAACCACTTCCACCGGCCTGATGGTCTAGTAGTATGATTCCTTGTTAGGGTTTGCATATATCTCGCTGACTTTCGAGGAGGTCCCGGGTTCAATTCCCGGTCAGGCCCATGCTGCTTTGCGGAGTGGAGTAGACTTTTTTCTTTCTTCCCGTTTGCTCTCAAATACTTTACCCTCGACGAGACGTAGATAAAACGACAACCTTTGTTTTTTCTTGTTCCTTTTTCTGCAAACGACAAACAAGAAGGAAGAAAGACTCGGAACGCTTACACCTACACCTACACCTAAAAAGCAAAAATTTGGTTTCTGTTCACTGGACACACCACTGGACACACCCGGAATTGAACCGGGGACCTTTCGCAGTACATCTATGAAGCAAATATGCAAAGCGAACGCGATAACCCCTACGCTATGTGCCCATACCTTTCCCTCGTCGAGTATACCGCCGCAAGCGCCCACATACTAAAACGGAAACACACCTTCCAAATCAAGATCAAGACTTCGCCGAGGGTACCTTTGTCAAGCCTGAGCTCGAGAAACTCTAAACACCTGTACACCTGAAACAACCCTTACCTCATCTCCAATCCCAGCACAAAACACGAACGACAGCCAAGAAACCACTCCGAAAAAAAAAAAGAATTAAGAACTGCTAACAAAAAGTATGTAACACCGTACTTGACCATGTGGACACACCCGGAATTGAACCGGGGACCTTTCGCAGAAGCACCAGGAAATTTTCGAATGCAAAGCGAACGCGATAACCCCTACGCTATGTGCCCATACCTTCAGGTTCACGTCTAGATTTCAGGCTCCAGGCACGGTGGCGAGGAATTGCGATTGTAATTTGACAAGGATAGCGATGCGAGATAACACTACGATGAACGAGACGAGACGAGCGACATGGGGTATATATAAAGAGTGGAATAATTTATAGAAAGTGCGTGCTTTGTATCGAGAGAATGCATGCGTGAAGGAGAGTACGTGCGTGCGTGATGAAAGAAAATACGTGCGTGCGTGCAAGAATTCGAAAACCAACAAACCAGCTAACTAACACCCCAAATCCCGGCCCTTCTAACACCTTCCACAAGCGCATCGACGTTCCCCAGCATCGTAGATAAATGTGCTGTCTTCTGAGCCGTCGTTTTGATTTGTCCTTGGTGTGGCGTGTAAGAAGGCAGGCGGTTCTCCTTATCCGATGTGAGAGTAAAAGACGCCTTGGTAGGCGATGTAACTGTAGACTGCGGCGGCGATATAAGAGCCGCGGTAGAGTTTGAAGTCGACCGCGGATTCGGCGTCGAGTTGGAGTTCGAATGCGTAGAAGAAGGCGGCGACGACCCCCAAAATCTACATTCATCCTCATCCTCCTCTACCTCCTGCTCATGGTCAGGCGTAACAAAACTCGACCCCAAACTCGACGTTCTCCCCATCCCGGCTCCTACTCCCAGCCTATTCTTCCCAACAACAACACCTTCACTCAACGCCTTCTTAACCTCAACACCTCCAACACTCTTCGCTTTAACATGCCCATGCGTCCTTCTAGGTGCAGGTGCAGGCGTAGTGAGAAGGGGATTCACACCAGCCGGCGACTGTGGTACAAACTCCACATCACGTTTAAGCATCCCTAACGTCCTGGGTTCGGGCGTTTGTGTGCGTTGACGTGGGCGAGGTGTACCTGGGCCGCTGGGTCGACCTAGACCGATAGCGTTCTTTGTCCTAGGTTTTTTGGGTGACGTGGAAGTGGAAGTGGTGGAAGAAGCAGAAGGAACACGACTATCTGGAGGTGTGAGTGTGGATGTGCTAAATGTACCCCCAGACGCTTCAGAGCCAGAGGAGAAAGAGAACGTGGATGAGCCGTAGCGGGATGTTGGTGGTCGAATGGGTGTTGCTGAGATGAATGGTTTGGGTTTAGATGCGGGTTTCGTGGTTGTGCTGGGTGTCTTTGAACTGGTTGGTGTATTAGGCACCGTCGGGACCGGCACCTCCACCTCCACCTCCTTTTCCTTGGTAGAAGCACCCAACATAGGCACCTCCAACGTCTCATCCAACAAATAAAAATACAAAAACTCCAAACACTTCATCCTCACACCTCTTCCCGTGCCGCTTCTCTTCAACAACCTCACAACAGCTTCTACACCTTTGACTTGTTCGAAAGCGCGTATAGCCGGAGGCGAGTCTACGAGGATACATAGAAGGGTATCGAGGATGGTTGAGGAGAGATGGGGGTTCGGGGAGGTGTCTGGGAGGTGGCGAGATGCTAGTAAGAGTTCGACGAGGACGCTTAAAGGGTGTGGACGGCCTAGCCAGGCTTTGGATGGGGAATGGTTGAGGACGATGCCTTGGATGAGGGAGGTGGTGATTGTGAGGTGGGAGATGTGGGATTGGGAGATTGGGAGATGGGTTAAGTAGGGGATTAGACGGGAGACGACTAAGGTGGTAGTTAGTTAGGCGTTGGACAAAGAGATAAGAAAGGCGGGCTCACCGTTACATTCGAATGTACCTTGTAAGGCAGAGAACCATTTGAGATCATCGCCTTTGGATAGACAAGCGTGAACAAAGAGAGATTCGAGGGATTCAAGAGCTTTGAGGTGGTGTGATTCATTGGAAGAGAGAAGAGTGTCGAGTGAATCTTGGATTTGGATATCCATCTGCAGTTCCAGTTCCTGGGGGTCCTTTGGGGTTTTTATAGATTGGAGAAATGAACCGAGGACCGAGGAACCAAGGACGTCACAAACACGCGTTTCAGTCGTGCAAGTTGAAATTTTTGTTTTCCTTCAGCGTCTATTTGCTGCAACAACAACATATCCCTATTTGGTTGTCTTGCATAATCTCTTTCTACGACTGGATGCTCTAGGTGCATTGGGTACAGAGAGTAGGTGGTAGCAGTATTTATACAACCCTACGACTAGAATATCTCCCTTCTGCAAAAAATAGCTCTCATTCCCGAGGCGACTGCACTAGCGTTCTATTCTTATGTCTTTACAGCTGTTATCTCCGCAAGGGTACGCCACCCCAACTCAACGTCCAACAACTCCCTATATGGGCACATAGCGTAGGGGTTATCGCGTTCGCTTTGCATGTAGATGAAACCTCGTCACTGCGAAAGGTCCCCGGTTCAATTCCGGGTGTGTCCAATGGCTGACTGAGTGGACCCAAGTTTTTGGAGATGCTGGCTTCAAAACGTTTTGCCAATTGGGCGTTCAACAGCCAAAAGAAGTTCTGCACTTTCCGGCATAGGGCCTGACCGGGAATTGAACCCGGGACCTCCTCGATGACTTCGATCCCGTAACAGGCGAACCCTAACAAGGAATCATACTACTAGACCATCAGGCCGATGAAGAGAGATGACCACCGGTGACCCAGGTACCGGGGCGTGTTCAAACCGTACACAAATAGAACCAGGTACTAGCCCAGGATCCACAGCAAGAAATCGTGCTACCTGACGTTGGAGACAGAGAAATCGGTAGGTGACAGGCTGGGACTCAGCAAGCACTAAAACCATCTTGTCGTGGAATGTGGAAGGCTGAATTGAATAAGCGTTAGCACTTGATGACCAGAAGTGGTCGGTGAGAGAACGCTTCTCCGGGGAACCACAGCTTTAGACAATCTGGAGCGAGTAGTACTGAATCTCGACAAAATCCCCGATCAGCTTTGCCTGGAACCTCGACGGTTGGTGTTTCGCGGTAGTCAGGAGTTTACCGATTTCCAGTGAATCGTCTCTTCCTCTGCCAAAATTGACATCGGAGGAACGATGGAGTTGGGCGAGGAACCGAGGATTGCATCGCAAGAGCTTCTGAGGCACGCTTTGAGACCTTCAGGAAACCAAGTCCTCACCGGTAACAAGACTGTAGAAAAGGTTCCTAGGCCTGGGTGTGGATGGTCGTTTGTTGTTGACACAGTATCTCGAGAGCTTCTGAGGCACGGTTTGGGATCAGTAGTACTGAACCTTTTCACCCAAGAAACCCGACGACCATCTCGACAATCTCCCTGGAACCTCGACGTTGTAGGTATCTCGCGGTAGCCAGGGGTTTACCGATTCGAGTCCTCACCAAGACTGCAGAAAAGGTTCCTAGGTCGTTTGGAAGTAGATAGGCGCAAGCCAGGGATCCTCAGCCAAAAAACTCTACTATGACTGGTATCAGACATGAGGTACCGAGCAAGGCATAGAAACCCCGTCGAGTGACGTTTTAAAGTTGCATCTCTTGCCCTGAATTGGGTATAGTATCAGTGGATAAAAAGACCCTAGAAGTGTCGAGGACTGACTATTGAATACTTGTCAGCCTGAGTGTCGCGTGAAATCCTTGGAATGAGTCACGAAAAAACAACGCGTAGGGTTCCGGGACAAGTATACGGCGAACCCAGTACGTTGGGAATTTGTATCTCCAAGCATCCCCGGCATCGAGGATGTGAGTTGCGGAAGTAACTGAAGGAGCTATGCGAAAACCTGTATCAACCAATTGATTCTTTACAAAACTAAAAGACACGGTGGTACGTACCAGTAACCCGAAACCCACAGCACAAGATCGAACCCTCGAATCATCTACTGTGTCAAAAGCGGACTTTGAGGTTGGAACGGCAACGAAGAAACATCTCGCGAACGCACCTCAAGCCCTCGCGCTGATCTTGAGTGAATCCATCTTGCGTGTCCTTGCATATTCATGCCCGCTTCGACCGTGAATGAACGAAGGCGTTCCTCGGTCAGTTTATGATGGTGGTCTCTGGTCAAGAGAATAAGCACCCAAATCTGGAGCACTTCACGATTGAAATCGAGGAATTGCATTGTCCGCATAAAACGATTTTTCCGTCTTCGTGGACTTCTGTGGGTTGTACACTTTGCATCTTCAAAGCAAGAGCTTTCGATGAGAATGCGATATAGTACGCTCCAGAATGTCGGGAAACCTAGCCTGCAAGGTTGAGTCAGAAACACCGAAGCAGAGTAAAATTGAAACCCTCACTGAAACCCTGATGCGAGAAAGAAGGTTCAATGACCCTCGTCTGTGAGTGCCTGAATATAAAGCGCTGAAGCGTGATATCCCCTCTGCCAGTTCATGTCCATTAAATGCCAGTCAGAAGTGGAACTCATGACTGGCTCCAGAGTACTCGCAAAAAAGGCACACTGAAGACAAGAGGGATTATGCGGACTCCAAAATGGTATAAATGCCCCCGTCAACTGGCGTTTGGTAGATGCTTAGGGTTGAAGTTGTGTTTCTTGCACGCGGGAGACCCTAAATTGGGTATATTAGTGGACAAGATGACCCCAAAACGTCGAGAACTCACTGTTTGATTACTCCGAGGATAAAATACCTTCTTCACACGTTGTACCCGCTGCTGAGCTCTTTTTCAGCTGCGTGAATGTCTATTCGGGTGAGTCCCAGAAATCCAACGCAGTGGAGAACGAAAGAGCTGGAGTAGGCTGAGAGATTCTGCGAAACCCCCGGTACATCGGCGAGTGTTGAAGATAATAAATCAATGACCGGCTACTCCTCCACGGGCATACTGTAGACGTTTCAGGGCCGGAGCTTCAAGAATCTTTGTCAGCGTCTTCAATCGCGGAGACAATTGATGAACTCGGAACGTTCTGATATTCCTGCCAGGTGTAACGAAGCTGTTCATGTTTGGGTTGCGACCTCGATGAAAGACTCTCAATTCTTCTCGCCCGATGTCACCCCTGCGAAGCTCGACCCTAGACCTCATACCATCTACCACTGGAGGAACGATTTAGCCTTGCTTTTAGTGTGTCTTTATCCCAAGTCATCAGAAATCTTCAATGCAATACTGGTCGGCCACTCACCACGATATTGAAGGCCTACAGAATATTCCATAGTGTGATTGTCCTTGGGCCTCGATTTCGATGGCTAAGTCGCGAGGTTGCATATGCATGGTGGTTGAGAGCAGCTTGTGGGCGTTAAGTACAACTGTGGGTCCATTGTTTGTCCCTATTTATAGTATTTCTCTCCGCAAAGCCGTACGGGACTGCAAACAAAATCGGGACCCTCACACAACCCGGTCTACAGGTTTAACGGTCAACGATAATCGATAACCCCTCTTATGCTGAAGTCGCGTGTCAAGTTAAAAGCTTGAAAAGATAACCCATGATTGGTATATGAACAGCAATACGCATGGCCGCCTGGCGAAATGGCATCGCGTCTGACTACGACCTTCGTAGAGTCTAATCAGGAGATTGCAGGTTCGACCCCTGCGGTGGTCATTTCCAGTATACGGGTTCACTTTTATGCTCGGCAGAGAGCTGGAGAGGAATATCCTTTTACGGTAATGCACCTTCCAGATTAGGGAGTAGAGATTATCCGGCTCTGTCCCTCCGTCGGCCTGATGGTCTAGTAGTATGATTCCTTGTTAGGGTTGGGAAATCCATCGAGGAGGTCCCGGGTTCAATTCCCGGTCAGGCCCATGCACATGCAGCTGTGAGCTTGCTCATATTTTTACTTTTACATGCAGACACAGGCTTAGTGGAAGTATCAAAGGAAGTATGATTCGCAGTGAGCCAGGGAAGGCCTTGTATATCGAAAGGATCCATCTACATATATATATGATATGATATACTATATGCGACTCTCCAGTTGCAAGACAGCTGACCATGCAGACCGAAACGCGTCGAGTTGCATAAAAAGTGAAATAAGTAAGAAAAACTATCACCAAGTCTGCTGGGCCTGACCGGGAATTGAACCCGGGACCTCCTCGATAGATCACATTATCTGCAATAACCCTAACAAGGAATCATACTACTAGACCATCAGGCCGTGAAAGAGGGAGGTTTTCAGGTATACAGGTTGGTTCTACTCTTGATATGGAAGGAGACTTCCCAAATCGGTCGATGCGTTCTGAGATACAGGAACTGACCTGTTACTCTTAAGGTACCACTGGCAGCGATACAATCTCTCGAGGCAATTCAACATACCTCTGGGACCCTGCAGGGTACATTTGATCGAGACCTTGCGACCCTTCTGAAATTTATCCGGTCGATGCTGAAAAGGCGACCTTATCATTTATTGTATCAAATGACTCGTAGAATTCTCCAGCTATTCCCACTCTCTTCCCCCGCCTGTGATCTTGACCACAAGCCACCATGGGCACCCTATCGGATGGTCGATACATTAAACGAATGCCCTCTCCATATTCCCAATCGCAAGTGCTCGAATATCTCTCCTATATCGGATACCCAGAAGTCGAGGTCGCGAACTTTCAGCCTGACTTGAAGAACCTCATATGGTTGATGCGGCTACATCTAATCCGAATCCCTTTCGCAAACACCGAAATGCATTAGTATGTGCCCTTTCACTGCCAGACTGATAATCTGCTCACCTTGATCAACGAAGCTCGCCAGACCGTAAAGTTGTTGTCGACCCACAAGGCCTCTTCAATCGCCTTGTCACAAATCAAAACGGTTCGTACTGCTTCGGTAAAACGGGTTTGCTTCTACACATGTTGAGGGGACTGGGTTACAGGTCAGCAGGGTTATTAATCTCCAAGTCGATACTGACTCACTTCTGATAGAGTTTACCCAGTTCAAGGCCGATCCAACCTCAATCGAGGTAAACACAATGTCCCGCCTGCTTTTACACCAACAACCCATATCATGCTGCTTGTCCAACCTCTTCCGGAAAGCAACACAACGTATATGGTAGATGTCGGATACGGTGGAAGTGGACCTGTACGACCGATATTGCTCCGAGAGGGAGAGGTAGTCGAGGGAGCTACACCAACAGAGAAGCACCGATTGACAAGAGGTGTTATGCCTGGTTCGAGTTCTGGTGAGCGACAAAGTTTAGTAGTGAAATGCACCAGTGAAGGCCTACCAAGTACACATGTCAGAAAACCCGGCAGAGCAAGTCTGGCAACTCGAGTGTCTTCATGAAAAGGAAGGCAAGCGGAATGTATGGGAGTTGGTGTATGTCTTCGATGAGGTAGAGAAATATCAAGTTGACATTGGTGTGTCTTCGCCCAACTTGCAATCTCCTAGCTCGTTCTCAATCTGTTGACAGATTGCTCGAGCCATTATGTTTCCACCTTTGATGACGGCACAATGCACGCCTACAGTCTCATTGCCGTGAAGAACTTTTGGCTCGACGACTCCGCTATAGAACATCGATCTATTGGTGCCATGATCCTGGCTGGAGGGACACTGAAGCGTACGATGGGTGCGCATTCGGAGATCGTCAAGGTGTGTACGACAGAGGAGGAACGCGTGGAGGTTTTGCGAGAGTACATTGGGGAAACAGTGAACGAGGCCTGGATCGACAATATCAAGACGAGGAAGGCAGCGCTGCGTAACCTAGAGAAAACGATACCTTAGAAATCTGAATCAGAAAAAGAAAAGCCTGAGGACTGCGCACCGTCGTTTTGAAGAGTTCGAAAAAGGCCCGTTGTAAGTTTATAACCCTTCCCATCATATATCGCGGCGGTTGAATGAATTGCGCGCCAGGACACTCAATGACCTATCGCTACATCCATCCCCTAGAACGCTTGAAGCCAAAGGCGTCGTGGGGTCGAGTTGTTGAGACGCAAATCCGTGAACATGCGAGGTTGACATGGTGGTCAGGGAAAAGTGATGCCAGAGGAGCACGACACCCCTTCGACACCTCTTGCGACCAAATAGTCTGGTGAAATATAAACACTAGAGATCCTCCTCATGAACACTATCGTAAAATTCCCGTAACTATATATCATACGTGATACTAAGATTGGAAGAAAAACGGTATGCTTGAGCATCGCACTCGTAAAAACAATCACTTGGAGTTGCTATCCAACACTTCCACCTCGCCTTCGCCTTTTACAGCAACCTTCACCTTCTTGGCACTAGCCCTCGCCGGCCATGGTTGATTGAAGACTTCCTCGAGTTCTTCAAGAGTACGTCCGCGCTGCGAAACGAGGTCAACTTATTTCATTCTCAAACAGGACCACCACTTACAGTCTCAACACAGAACAAGAACCATAGTACCGACGCGCAAAGGTTCCATGCAACGAAACTGATCGTGAATCAGAGTATGAACCGTGAATAGAGTGGAGACGTACACAAAGTAATACTTCCAGCCTAGCCGCTGAAGGCCAATACTGTTAGCAAACGTGTTGATGAAACCAGCACAGTTCGAGATCAAGATGTGGACTAATTGGCTCGTTAGAGGGATAAACATAATACAGAGTCCTGCACTCACTAGCCATCCCCTTCGCTCGCATATCCTGACTCATGACCCTATAACAAAGTTTGATGAGTTTAGCAAGCAAACCCATGTAGACGAGCTCAAAACGCACTCTGCGCAGTAAAGTGCCTGCAAAGGTGTGTAGGTGAAAGAATACACGATGCCGAACAAGAATATGAACGTGATAGATGCATTAGCACCGTTCTTGTTCGTGTTGCCTTTGCTTCCGTCTTCAGAGAATCTCAGTTAGCGAGTACAAATACGAAACAAAGTACGCACAATTGGCACTCAATGCAGCAACGATTGATAGTAGGCATGCTAGTACAAATGCGCCAATGTACAGCCTCTTCCTACGGCCAATCTTGTCCGTGATCGACGCTCCCAGGAAAGCACCGAATGCGGACAAGATCGAGTTAGCAAAGTTGCTATAGATGAGATGAGTCGACACCATATGGAATAGTGGACAGCGGAGTCGTACTAGACGAGTTGCGTGTGCTTCGACTGAACGCCAGCATTTTCCATCATGACAGGCAGGAAATATGTGATGAGCCCATTCCCTGCCAGCTGACCGTTGATCTGTGTTGGATTGATCAGACTCTCGACCATAGCAATCGATTTGTACATCGGTACTCACACACATAAGGGACAAAGCCAACATTCGCCAACCTTAGGCAAGACAGAATGATAAGAAAATCGTTGCCTCGTAAAGGATCTCACTCACGCCGGTTAGCACTAGAGAACAACAGTGAATAATCCCAAAACTGCACAGTGTCCAGTTAAGCCATAAACACGAGACAGCCAAAATCGCATTGCTTACTGGCTCAAACTTCTTCGCTTCGATACTCTCTTTGAATTCTTTTAACTCCAACTCAACGATGGCATTGGTCTCCCCATTTGTGCCGTGATACTTGATGAGGATTGCTTCTGCCTTGTCAATCTTGCCTTTCTGAACGAGCCATCGTGGCGATTCTGGACAGAAGTAGACACAAGACATGACAATAATTGGAGGTACGACTTGTAAGATCAATGGCAGTCTCCAAGCCCAAGTCGAGTTCATCTTTTCAGTGCCGACCATTGCGCCAGTCGCTGGTATTGAACCAATGAAGAAGCACCTATAGGGTTTTCGTGAGCAGGTGAAATCGACATGGTAACTGAAACATACGAATTGTACAATGCGCCGAGCCTTCCTCTCCATTGTGGTGGCGCAAGTTCCGTCACCCATCTGTTAATCTCAGCATTAACGATAGACAGTTCGAGACCAAGAAAAGGACACTTTTCACACTGGTGCAGCCGTTGTTGACAGTGCAATTCCAAAACCGAGCAGGAACTGTCGAGTATTAGTTCAAAGTAATGAGCGATACTTTCCAAAAAGTGAACGCACACGACCACCCAAAAACATTCCCTTGCTTTGAGCCGCGGTAATGATGGCTGATCCAACAAGAATGAAGGCACCTCCCTACCCATTGAATGAGTGGAGTGATTGAGATACATATGGTCTAAACGTACGGTGAACATTCCACCTCGCCGCCCAAACTATTTCGGCATCCCGCGTTTCAGTGATGGCCAGAAAGCATGGTAATAGAAATACGCACGGTATCGGTCACAGGACCTGCAAACAGGGATCCGACACAATTGCCGACGACGCTGAGCACGAGGGTTCAATATTCCGTCTTGAGAAAGAGAGGTCGGAGTCATACTATATCATGAAGACGATCCCTGTCGACTTGCCTACACTCTCTTCGTTGAACTACATCGCAGTCAGCTTGTGAGGAGCAAGATTCAATTATTTTCAACTCACGTAGGACAGATATTGGTCCATAGCATTGATCCCACCCATAAGACTTCCATCGAACCCGGATGACACCGCGTTGAGGAATCCTACAACAACGATGAAGTAAAGCTAGTGAAACCCCTCAGAAAACGTCCCCAACAAAGATATATCACACACCTGAAAGCTTCGCTTGCTCAACGGATCTAGTTTCGTGGCTGCCAATGCCTTCTCATATTCGGTGTTATAGACCTCCTCGATTTTGGCCAACTGAGGGGGTGCTGAGACAGGCCCTCTGAGCTTTTCCGGACCAAACTCAGAGGAAGCTTTGGAAATGGAAGCTCGATCGTCGTAGGACATGATGGCCTGAGAGACACCATGTAGCGAACCGAAACTCTTTTATTATCACCAACCGCTTCCAACGGCGCGAAGATGCCAAGCCTAAACCAACTGTGGTAAAGCGGTCCGGGAGAGTGTCCAGATAACGCTTTGAGGATAAGAATAGATGGCCGAAGACCAATGGTAATATCGGGTTTGAAGAGATCAGCTGCTTTGGAGTGTGTGTATGATGGGTTGATAGAGCGGGTATTCGACAGCTAGTGAGACCACCGTTGTTTGGAGGTTACGGTCGGGTTACGGTAGGTTACGGTGAGCGCACACGCTCAGGATATAACTTGTCGGCATTCTAACAAGAAGCGTTTGAAATGCATACGGTTTCGATACGGTTATCATGAGATGATGCTCACCTGCAATTCATCAAAGGAATCGAGCCTAATCGAGCCTGCTTCTTTCTCTGATATCCTCTGCGTTCCTGGGAGATAGATATCTCGAGCAA